TTGAGCTATACCCTCCGCCTGTTTGTTTTTAATCCAGAAATTATTTCCATTCCTACAGGCTGTTTTCTACTTGCAAGACTTAAACGCTTAACTTTGGGTTCAGACTCCAACTTCTCATGTGTGTGGAGAGGAGCCTCTCCCAGGACAGTACTTTTTCCCACTCCTTGTGGCTGTCTCAAGCCACAATCTGTTTCCTCCTCCACCTTTCCCTCGGAATTCAAAGCCCTCTTTTTCCCATCCATCTGAGGTAACTCAGTCACGTTGCAGCCTAAGCTGTGTTTGGCACTGGGTGCTCCTGGAACAAAACCAGACATCCTGATCCCTGCCCTCGTGGTATAAGGCAGGCCTGTTCCAGCTGGCGTGGCCTGTGGGGAAAGTAGGGTGGTGGTCGTCCCCCCGCGAGGTTACTCAGCCCCGCAGCACAGAGCAACCACCCACAGCTTTCTGTGTGCGACGCTGGGCCTAGTGGCAAACAGCAAAGGCGAGGCTGGGAACACTTCGTAGGACTCGATGCGTCTTGCCAGGGGAAGGTTAAAAGCAGGTTCGTAAGTGTTGTGGGCACACGACAAGGCAGCCAGTCGGTGGCATGGTGACACGCGCAAGTTGGTAAAAGAATTTACCAGAGATTAAGTACAAGAATAGAAAGGAGTTTATTAGGGTACACCGTCATAAGGAACAGCTGGCCAGACAGACAAGGGGTGCGTGTGTGAGCGCTGCAGGCCAGTTGTTGGGGTGTTTTGTAAGGTCGGGTCACAAGGTGCCTGATCGGCTTGTGTACAAGTCTGATTGGTTGTAGGTGAGGAAAGAGGCTTAGGGTCTGTCAAGGGCCGTGGGGTTTACTCTGATAAGGTAGGCATTACCTGGGACAATTAGTTTATTGGGGGAACATGCCCAGTAAAGAATGTACTTTACCTGTTGAGGGATCACATAGATCTGAGCCCAAGAATGGGAGTCGTTGGACTTTGAAGGACATGAGTGGGCCCAACAATAAGTGCTCCTTTTTCCTGTACCATTGGTGCAGCTGAAGCCCAGTGCTCCTGATGGACACAGGCCAGCACGGGACCTGACGTACCAATGACAGCTGAAAAGCAGCGCCAGGCATGGTTCGGAAGCCTGACTTTAAAGCCAGCAGTTAGCGGGCACTTTGTCAGGGTCCCGCGGCCCATTGTGAAGTTTGAACTGGATGCAGCTGGAGCAGTGACCCCTCCACTGTGCTGTGGAGATCTTGGGTATCTGAGTTATTAAAGATTCACGTGGAAGAGGCAGGCTTTGCTATGGTTCTGATGCAGGCAAAACGGATGTGGGGCTTGAGGAGGGCCGTGTCCCAGGTCTCAGTGGGGCCCCTGGGACGTGCCCTGCCAGGTATGGGTCCTTGGCTTTGTGCAGAAAAGAATTCAAGAGCGAGCCCCAGTTGAGTAAAGGTAGATTTATTTAGAGAGATACATACTGCATAGAGTGTAGGCTGTTTCGAAAGGCCACGAGGTGTGGGGGTTGGGTGCTCAGGCTCAAGTAAAAGTAGGTACACACTCCACAGACAGGGTGCAGGCCGTCTCCAAAGAGGGAGCAAGAGAGGTGGCCACAGGGCATGGGGTTGCCAGTTTTTATTAGTGGGAGGACCATTCCAACTACCCTCGGGGAGGGGCTGGGATTCCCAGGAATTTGGGCCACCTCCCACTCTTTGACCTTCTGTGGTTGGCCTTGGGACAGTCATGGTGCCCGTGGGCATGTTACTTACCACGCTAATTTGTTACTGTGAGCACACAATGAAGCTTAAGGTCTCTCTGAAGTCAAACCTCCTGGCCATGTTAATCCTCAAGGCCTACCAGGAGTTGAATCTTCTGCCGTCCTGGTGTCAGTTGCCGTCCTTCCTTGAATGGCTGCGCCCTGCCCTCTGCCCTCCTGTCTGAGTTCCTTTTGTTTGGATTCCGCCCAGTTTAAGTTCCAAGAAGTCTGTCCCCTATTGGGTCAAGCCTGTAAAACCTGCCACTGTTACTGAGAAATCAGCCTCTAAACCCTGAAAAGTGAATTCAAACTTAGAGGCAGAGTTTTGGGAGCAAAGACAACAGCGGCTTTCTTGCTTTGCCCGGCAGAGGGAGTCACAGCAGGCTGCTGCCTTAAAGACTGTGAGCCCAAGCTGGGGTTGGGGTCCTGAGGTTTTATAGAAAACCTGGATGGAACAGAAAAGGTGGTAACAATCAGGGCACTTTATAGGGTGCTGTATTCCTCTTAACCTCAGTGAATCTTCAGGAGGAACTCTGGAGGGTCTGTCCACTCTTCTGAGATTATCAGCCTGCTACCTCCTTCCTGGAGCACAGCCTCTGGGTTAAAGTTACTCTCAGCACAGAATGAATCAGCACACAGTTTCCCATCGGGAAGTCAGCTTATTAGTTTGGTTTGTGCTCCTTCAAATCCCCGCTGTTGGTTAATTTTTTCCATTTCTATGGAAATAGGGAAACGGGCGTTGTTCTCCTCTGGCTGCTTGCTCCTGGACTGGGGCGTCATCCGGGGCACCTGAAAACCAGTCGGAGACTTTGACACTCACCTCTGATGCACAGGCCTCTGCATCTCCTTGCTCTGAATTTGAGATCTCATATCATTTAAAAGTAAGTAACATTTCTAGACTCATCAGGTACAAAAGTACAACAGGCAGGCAGTGTGAATCCCAGTACAAGTTCCCTCTTGGGAGGCAAAGTGAAATACCCGAGGCCATTTGGTTTTGCAGTGCTGCCTTCCTCCTCAGACCTTAGTGTTCAGCAGAGAGAGGCTCCCTTAGAAGCCTCTCGCATTAAAGAGACTTTGGTGTTGTGATCGCCCAGGTACCCCCACTAAAGGAATGGTGGTCTTGCTTAAAGAGGCTAATTTACAATTTAGAACAGAGTAGGTGGCTAAGAAATTCACCAACTGAGACCCCACAGTTAGTTGTACCCAGAGCTCCTGTGAAGCTCCGGTTACTGGGGTCTCTAACACTGCCAGGAACCCTGTGTTCCCTTTACTTACTGTCATCATTCATTTTATCTCTTGAGTTACCATGACCTCTCGGGAAGTCTTGTTGCTTTGGGAAGACTGTTGTGGGACACAACGGGGTGGCAGGGTCAGTGAGCCAGTGACACACAGGTTGGTAAAAGAATGTACCAGAGATAAAGTATGGGAATAGAAGGGAGTTTAGTAGGGTGCGCTGCCGCAGACAATGGCCGGCCACACAGATGACTGGTGAGGGCCAGTTATTGAAGAGTTTTATAAGGTAGGGTCACAAGGTGCCTGACTGGCTTGTGCACAAGTCGCTGATTGGTTGTAGGTGAGGTAAGAGGTTTTGACTCTGATAAGGTAGGCATTACCTGGGGCTGTTTGTTAGGGGAAACACACCCAGCAAAGAATGTCAGACATCTGAGAGCCCAGAAATGGGGGTGATGGAACTTTGAATGACATCACCCAACAGAGACTTACAGCCAAGTAGCCAGTTCTCTAATGCCAACTTTTGATGTGGTATTTACATATACATAATAGGAGCTATGACTACTACAGTAAGTTTTTTTCTGTTTTCTATTAATATCTGATCTAAAGGAATTTCATTGTCTAGAAACTTAATGAGTACAAGAGAACTTAAAGCCAAAAGGTTGCAACTACAAGTTGCCAGCAGACACTGCTTTGAGAATGGCTGGTGGCGTCCCAGGTTTGACACAGCTCAGAAAACTCAAGTTCTCAGCAACACACAAACGTGTCTGAAATCACACCTACACTGGTCACCTAGTTTTACGTTGAATGTCTGAACTAGTTATTCCATTTTGATTTTCAAATGCATTTCTCTCCTTAATGGCCAGAGCAGATGTCAATAGTAATGGTTTTATGGGTTTTCTAGTGCTAAGTAAAAATTGGCACCTACCATCTACCTCTGCTTGGATTGACTCACGAGCTGCAGCAGCTTTCAGCACTCCCTGAAAGGAGTTCAGGATGGAGGTCAGGAATAAGGCACCCTGTGTTCTGGGAAAACTGGCTGAACAGGCCTTCAAATAGTTGGATATTTTGAGGAGAAGGGTTTATAAGCCCAAATTCTTGTGTCTCCTTGTATCTAGAAAATCACTAAAATCACTAACATTGACACCTGCTCCTCGTGACTAGCAGCAAGCCTCTGCCCAGATGTGTGCTTGACTGCACGTGCCCCGCTTCACTGAAATCATACTTAACACCGACTTCCCCCTGCCTCTCTCAGACACTTTCTCACAGCTATCTGAGATGCTGTCTCCCGGCTATAGTCCTCATTTTGCCCCAAATAAAACTTAACCCACAACTCTCACGTTGTGTGACTTTATTTCAGTTGACAGTTTTGGCGACCCCACGAAGGGTCCCAGAGCAGACTTCTCCTTCACCTGAACTCTGCAAGGAACCGGAGCCTTGGTACCAGCAAAGGCCCTTTGTGCCCATCCCCCTCCTCAGGGAATCCTGACGAATTTGGGTGAGTCTCTTCTGGTTCTTGGATCTCCATGGTTGATGATCCTGAGTTTTATTGGGCAGTGTATCCAGGTACCTCGCCCTCCAGTTGAGAGATACTGGGGAGAAATACCCACCCAGTGGAGATGTCCTGGGTGGGGCTGGTTGAAAGATACCAGGGTCTGGACTGAGTGGTTAGGTAAGAGGCTGAGCTGACACTTTTTCTCAGTTTGGCTACCTGAATAGAATTTGCCAGGGATAAAAGTGAAATTTTATCCCAAACAAATTCAACTGAAAAATGAGAAATAGAGTTTTTCAAACAGAAATGAGGGGTGTCAGAAAACCAACCTCCAACTAACACCCCAGCCAGATTGATACACAGAGCTCGTACTTGCAAGCACCTCCTTAACTGGGGAGAATTCTACTACAGGAGATCTCAATCTAAAATGGCCAAATTGGGGTTCTTTCGATACTCCAAAATTGATGTTTTTGTGTACAGTTAGAAAAGGCTGGCCATAAGATCAAATAGACTGAATGGAATGCTTATTTGGTATTTAGAAGCTTCTTAAAGAGAAAATGATGAAGTAACTTCTTTGCAGGAAACCAAGAAATTGCTTGAAACTGTACCAGAACTAAAAAAAGGCCTCTAGCACTGACACACTCTCCCTCTGTTCCCCCTGCGTGTCCTCTCCGATCTGAATTGCCTGGTCCAGACACTGTCTTTTTCTCTTGCGTCTCTTCCACCTCCTGCTGTTCCCTCTTCCCTGGTGGAGGAGGATTAAAAGTCAGAAGTGATGATAGCTCCCTTTAAGGAGAAACTTACTACAGGGGGAGGTGAACTGTCCTCAGTGCTTATGTACACATCCTGGGCCCAAGCTGAAGTTAGAGCCTTGGCTAAGGAATTTCCCAGTCCAAGTCAAGATCCATTGGGATTTGCCAAGGAGTTTGAGTTTAACCATCGGGAACCTACAAGCCTGGGTTTTCAGATCTATATCGATTTCTGAAAGCACAGCAAGGGAATGGACAGAGAAAGCATATTGGAAACTACCTCTAAAGGACTTTGAATTCCATAGTCCACAGGCTCACACTTAAAATGCAAGGAATTAGCTCAAAAATTACTTAAACATATCCCAGAGCTTTTTCCAGAAACCGTAGATTGGACAAAGATTCAGCAGTGCGAGCAAAGACCCGATGAACCAATTCCAGACTCCTACGAAAGGTTTGAAAATACCATTAAGCAGTATTCTGGCTTGACACCTGAATATTCTCTAATCACCAAAATGATCCTTTAATTAACTCTGCCTTTTTAGAATGCTTAGATGAGGAATTGACTACTCTAGTCAAAAGACAATCTAGGGCGGTCCGCATTACCTACAAACGCCCTTGTTACACCGGCTGGCCAACTTTTCAGGACCATTAAAAAGAAAGAAGGGGGATAACCACAAAAATCATGACCTTACGGCTGCACCAATTAAGTACTCAGTGCCAGTTGAAGTTTAACAGATCCCCGTTCAATCCACAACTGATAGAGAAAACCAAAGTTTACTGCAGAAAACCAGGGCATCAGAAAATGAATTGTAAGTTAAGAAGGCAGAAGCCTAGAAGGAAAACTGGATTTTAGACCAGAATTACGAGTTAAACAAGAATAGGGCTGGGGAGTCTTTCCCCTTCTCTCTGACACCTAGGAGAAGTAGAAATGGTTCTACAAGGAAAAACAATTAAAGCCCTGATAGCTACAGGGGCCACCTTTTCAGTTTTGAAACCTACCAAAATTAAAGGACCTTTGCCTCAGAGGATTCCTCAGTACACGTGGTAAGGGTTTCTAATGCAGCTACTAAGGCTTTTAAATCATTACCTATAGAATTCTACTTAGGGGAACATAAAGGAAGGTACCCCTTTTTCTAGTAGAAAAGGGCTCCCGTTCACCTGATAGGCAGAGATCTATTGGAAACTTATGAAGCCCGTATTTCCTTTACTCTTAAGGGAGAAATGTTTCTAGATCTGAAGGACCAGTGAGATTTCCTTCACCGTATAAAGTTCGTGACTCCTAATGAGGATGATGCTGAACAAGACAAGTTGCTAGGCTTAGTACTTAAAGAATTATGAGAACTTGATTCTGCTGACATTGGAAGAATACATTCTGCATCACTCATTAAAATATTTGTCATTCTATAGTACCAGACCCCCATACTTTATTGTCCATATTCCTAAAAACAGTAACTTCTTTACGCCTTTAGTTGTACTGAGAGGCGATGTATGTGGACTGTCGTGCCACAGGGCAATACTGAAAGCCCCCCTTCCCCCAGATACTAAAAGCAGACCTAGACAATGTTTTCAGAATATTGTCACAGGTCCTTCTAGGAGAACTTGCTTTTTTTGCCCTGCGGCTTAGGACCAGGGCTCTCAGGAATATTTATTTTATCCAGACCATCTCTAATTCCTGAGACTGCAGAAAGAAAAAAAGGCAGCTTTTTAAATTTAGCCTATTCCAGCTGTGAAGACTAGGGAGTTTTATGTTGCAGTGCCTGACCTCTTGACCAAGTTTACAAAGTGGAGCTATGGGATCTCTGGTTGTATCTGTCTGGATGTCCATATGTCTATGTGTGTGTTTACCTTTGAATGGTATTATCAAATTTAATTTGTAAATGAGCTCTACTTAGTTGCCCTAGAGAAAATTAAGTTTATATAAATTCTTTTATAGAAATATAAAAGGAAACTGGCCAGAATGAATTTCAGGTTCTTGTGAACTGGGAAACTATTCAATATTAAATCAATACCCGTATTAAAGTTTGCGACTTAATTAATGTAGATATGTCTTCCTAGTCATCAACATTAAGTATAACACCTTTGTTGTACCTAGGTTTAGTAGAAGTCAAATAAGATCTTACTATACGTTGCAAATTTGTCAGCAAGAAAAATAATGATATTGTGAAATTTTTAAAAGTAGGTTGAATGCAAATGAGATAAGAGCCTTTGGATGAATTCTTTAGGAGTAATGTATTTTAGAGATGTCTACTTCAATATAATTTCTCTAGATATTTAATAACTTGAAATTTCAGAGTTGTGCTAAATTAAGTTAAATGACGGAAGTTTATTGAATAGTTAGGTTATTCCCAAACATAGTATTGGCTTCCGTTTGCAGAGAAACTAAAGGTATCTAGGAATATTAATATGTTTAGTGCCAAAATGAGATATTTTCTATAAGAAAACTTGTTTAGAAATTTATTGATGTTTGTTTGCCAGTCAACAGAATACTAATGTAAAAAACAGTTCATAATTGCTTACTTCTTAGTTTTCGTTAAAAATCTCAATTTCTAAGAGTTGAGGATTCTATTTAAAAATTTTAAAGCTACTAGGAAAAATAAACATTTCAGTATACAGTAGGAAAGTAGGATATGTGATTCAGTAAAGAAGTTACGAGGAATGGAACTGCATTTTGTTAAGGGAAAGTAAAAGTAGGTTTATCCTTTAGCTGGTTGTTTCCAGATGGAGAAAAATAAGAAACAAACTAATATGGATACAGAAAGTGATGAAAGGTTTGTGGAAAAGGAACTCTAAGAAGAGAGCTTTGTGCATCATCAGGATTGGTTACATTTAGATTTAATTTAAATAAGTAAATGGATTTGGTTGTTAAAAGTAAGCTGGTGCAAACCTTTGAATTTAGTTTTTCTCTGTTATCAAAAATGGATCAACATTTTATGAAAAATTTGTCCTCTTATCACAG